CAGTCAGCGATATTTTGAAAAATGATAAATGTTTGAAGAATTTTAAATGAACAAAGTGTGTGTTTGGAATTTTCAAACCCATAAAATGTGAAAATTTTATAAAAATAGCAGTGAGACGTTAAGATTAAAAAATCCAGGGTCATAATTCTTGCAAGTCCAAAGTCAAAAATGCCAATGATGTAAATCAAAAGGTTTAAAAAATCTGTATCCAAAACCTGCAACACACAGCTACCGTCTGCACTCATTAAGAACTAAGAAATCGATCTGCCATCCAAAGTAGCATTCTTTTATTGGAGGAAGAGCATCCTTTATACTGATTAGATGTTGACACTTCTAAGGTTACCTGTAGGAAAAAATAAATGAGGTGGGTAAAAAAATAAAAAAGTCAAGTGCGGCGTTCACCGACTCTTCTACTTCTTCCTCACTGGTCTAAAGGAAATAGATTCCGGGGCTCTACTTCACCTTACTAAAGTAGCAAAGATTTTCAAACATTTCTTGGTAAGAAATAAGATAAAATGAAAATCCTAAAGCAAATCATAAAATAAGGCAGTGGAAAAAGAAAGGAAGGAAGAAAGAAAGAAAAACAGCAAAAAGAAAAAGGGAACGTGTCAAAGGGAATAGTGAAAAAACAAGAAAAAAGAAAGTAAGGGGAGGAGCAGTGATGTCTAGACATGGGGATGGTAACAGGTGGTTAAATACATCAAGCTCTCTTTGTGGATCAGTTTTAATACTTTATATTATTAGCATTCACTTGTATTATTTACTTAGGGATGTTTACCTATACATACATACACACATATATATATATATATATATATATATATATATATACATTATGAAATGGACAAAGTCCAACAATTATTTTTTAAGACATTTATATATATTTTTAGTAGGAGTAGGTAAATTTGCCTATCATCTGCTTCACACGCCACAGGAGTTGAGATATAGTCTTTGTTTCCTGTTTAGGATTGGGTTTCCAGTTCTTTCTAAAGTTTTCTCATTCTCTTTAATTCCCGGTGGCGCCTTGTATCTTAGTGGCATTATTGCCTTATCTGGCATTATTTATATATATATATATATATTCAAACTAGAATTATTATACACTTACATTCATGAAACAACATTTACAGTTTTTCAGTTAGGCTTGGAATCTGTTAATTTCTTGAAACTTCAAATAGACATGTTGTCTTTTCTTGAATTCAGAATGCCAAAAACTATACTAACATATGTTTAACAAATTGAAACTATGGCAACTTCCTTGATGAATTTCATCTTGACATCAAGAAACCAATTAGACAATTGTAAAGGTTAGTGTAAAAATAAATACACATATGTCTAGATTAATCAATGAAATATATAATATTAATAATAGAAAATGTAGATTGTGTTTAGAAGAAAAAGTTTATATAATAAATTTCAATAATCATAATTAATTAAATCATTAAACAAGAGAAATGAATTAATGGGTAAATGCAGACATTTTAATAAGTATTTACTTTACAACAGAAAATAATATAAATTAAATAATAATGTAATATAATACACACAATACATACATATATATAAAAACAAAGATATACATGCAAACAAAAATAACAATGAAAAATAAAAATTACAAAATATACAATTGAAAAACAATTACATTTATAAAGGAACACATGTGTACATGTAAAAAAAAATGAACTTGACAGAAGAGTGAAAAAAAAATGAAAAAGAGCTTTTAGAATCTTTGAAAGAAGGGAATCAATCATCAAACTTATGCATTGAGAAATCTTTGCAACAAATGCCAAAAATTTGTGCTGCTGTAGTCAAGGCTAAAGAGGATATTTTGACGAGAGCAAAATTCAATCATAAATATGATATTTCACTTTTTTTTAACTGTGTATAATAATTTTCTCTTATTTAAAGTACAAAACAATTACTTTTGGGGCTAATTAAAAAAAAATTACCAGGAGTGGCCTTAAACTTTTGAACAGTAGTGTGTGTATATATATATATATATATATATATATATATATATATAATTTCACCCCAAGTAAGGCGGGAGTGCCACTAGCAATGCAAGAAGTTATAGAGAGTGGAAATAAGAATAAAGTGGGGCATTTGAGGAAAGGATAAAAAGAAGGACAGCGATCAATATCAAGGTATCAGAAGATGTCGATTGACATTACATTTGAAGATTATAGTTATCACAGAAGCAAGTAAGAGGAAGGGAGTTCCACTGTTTAGAAGTGCGAGTAGTTGGAGTAGAAGAGATGGATATATTTAACTGTTTCAACAGTGAAATGGTTGGACTGAGATGCCAGCTTATAGGCACACTTAAATTAATGCAGTTGGGGTACCAGTGAAAATAGCTTGTCAGAGCAGTTGCCATGAAAATATTTCTAGAAAAGGCAGATGGAAGCCACGGCACATATGTGAGAAAGTGACTGGAATCACATTTCATATCTTTCTTTGGATTTTGTCAATAACCTCGAGATGAGCAGCGGGGGAACCAGGTCATATATGGCAACAGTATTCCATGCATGGACAAATGGTAGATATGTAGATGTGAAAGATGAAGTATGATGAGAAAAACCTTTTGGCGCAACACAGGGAACCAACCTTCCTTGTGGTAGATGAAGCTATTCATTCAATGTAGTTGTTCTACCTCAGGTCAGTAGAAAACGTGAGACCAAAAAGGTGCAGAGAGACGCATGAGCATCAGATATGCTGACAGGGGGCGGGGGGAGCTTCTCTAACATGAGTAAATGAGAGCAGTTTTGTATAGTGAAGAAAACGGCGACTTACCTCATCAAACCAAGTGACAGTGTGTCGAGTGTATTCTACGACAGAAAATGTGGCGAAAAGGAAAATTACTTACCAAACAAAAGGGCATGTATTCCGCATGATATGCTGAAGATGAAATATTTGAATTAAAAAAAAACAAAAAAAAGCAAGTCCGTCGCAGGAGTCGCTATAAAAGTATTTTGATATGCAAATTACTGAACATCCTCTCCCAGCTGTTGATGAATGGAAAAAATGTTCGGCCAATAAAAGCAGTTGGTGTTCTCGAATCGGGGGATGAAAAAGTCAGCTATTTTGGCTGCCACGTCTGTTGGAGAGTGAGTTATTTTTCTGATTGGTGGCGTGCATTGGGATTTGTGAAATAGTGCTTGCGAATCGAGTTTTCGGCATTTTCTTTCTGTCCCCGATGTTCGAGTCTGAACTTAGTGCTTTATTCTTTGTGATGTGGAAATAATCTGACAAACATTTCCTTTGCAATCCCACATCACTTACATTTTGTTTTGAAGGCAATAAAGTTTACAAGCCATTTGCTGTTCCAGTCAGCCAAAGACTGGAGGTCGTTTTCAAGACCAATGGCCAGGTTAACTTTGTCAGCAATACCGGATAGGCAGGAATAAATGGTGGTGTCATTTCTACTGATGACATTGGGAAGATCATGGATAAAGATCAGAAACAGTGTAGAATCCAGGATAGAGGAACATCAGCGTTCGTGTGAAAGGAAGTGGAGGTGGAGTCATTTAGGATGACCTTCATTTCACAGTCAATATGTCAGATGACAATAAATTACATCCAACAGCAAGGCCTTTAATCAGGAGGTTTTGAGGAGCATGGAACCACTTCTTGATTGCTGGTGTTCTCAGGTCTGCCCGGATCTGGGATGGTGGCATCTGGTGGGGTTCCAGCTATGGGCAAGTTGTTAAACACCACAACCACTAAAAAAGTGATCAAAACACTATGAAATTATAAAAATAGGTTTTACTATCAGCAATACCTTTTTGAAAAAAATTATTACCAGCAATACCTTTTTGAAAAAAATTATTACCAGCAATACATTCTTGGAAAATAAAATTATTACCAGCAATAAAAATGTTGTTGGCATTAAATAACCCATTGAGGTTGATATGCCATAAAACAAACCAAACCAAACAATCATCTTGTATTACCATATCCCTGAACCTTACAAAGAATGTTAGCATGCAAAAGCCTATCAGACACCTTATAGATATCTAGAGCCACAGCTCAAGCTTTACCATTATTATCAAGAGCTTGGTATACAAATTGCATATATATATATATATATATATATATATATATATATACACACACACTTATATATTTCAAAGATAAAATCCAGGTAGAGCTCTATGTCAAAGACAGAGCAAGATGATAATATAAAAGGCTCAAACACTAATATTTTATGGTTATAATTTATTATATTGGAATCGTAATCACAATCTAATTCATCAGACCTACAAATTCAAAAAGTCTTATAATCTGTGTGTGGTGAAATTAGTTGCTTCCAGACAAGAAACTTTCAGAATTCTTTGAGTGAAGAGTTAGTGTTACCATCATTTGAAATTCATAAAATCTTTCTCTTAACACATTTTTTTTTGAAAGGAAAATAAACTTCTCAAGTACACTGTTATGACACTTTCTATTATATATCTGACAGAGTTTCCTACATAACCTTTTCTTTGAAGTTGTGTGGAAAGGCAATACTAATTGTCTTATTAATTTCCCTTCTAGTGACATGTGTTCATTGAAAAAAAAACCGCTAATTTCTGGCACAGATTCACAGTCCAAAAAAATGGTATGGATAGAAGTTATTTCTTGTTTTTAATGCTAATTTTACAATTTGGTATTTTTTAAAATATTAACCAGAATTCTTTGAGAGAATTCAATCATTCCACTCAGTGATCTTGTCATTTGGAGAGCAGTGTTTTAAGGTCACTCAACGCTCTCCTTACTATTGGCCCCAGTACAAAAATCTCTTCACTTTACTATTTTGTAATCCTTATTACTCAAGTAGCTAATCATATGGCAGTATTTCCCTCTTGTTCATCTTTTCCATCAGCAACTTACTATCTTCTACTCTTCCTTCTTTTGACTTCACTCCCACTTCTTCTTTGTGGTTGTTTTTAGCTTCTGTTTGTTATGCTTCTTTTACTTTCACTTTCATTTGTATTTTCTCTAAACTTCACTCATTTTTTACAATGCTTACTAATTGTCTTTCCTTCATTTCTTCTCTATATACGTCACATGCTCATTCCTGTTTTTATTTCTTCTTCTTTTCTCTCTTTCTATGTGTCATGTCCTTTCAGGATGTTGGCGATCATGACTCTCCACCTCTTCCTGTCTCTTGCAGCTCTCAACAAGTTCCTTCTTTCTGGCAACACCACCAGACCATGTTCTGCCATCCACTTGCTTAAAGCCACTAGGTATGTCATGCATTGTTTTCCCTTCTCTCTCTTTCCCTCTATTCAACCTGTGAGTATCAGATTCTCCAGGCTCTCCTTCCTCGTTATGTGTCCCAGGAACGTCTTACAATTCCCTTATTCTTTCTTGCATTCTTTCACTCTATCTTTTCACCACAATGTGAGTTCCAGTTTTTTTCTTTCTTTTTGCTTGCTTACTTTGTTCTTTCCTTTTTTTTTCTTCTTTCTTTCCTCTTTTCCTTTTTCTTTTTTCTTTTCTTCTTTCTTTTCTTCCACACTTTTTTTTCTTCTTTCTTCCTCTTTTTTTCTTCTTTCTTCCTCTTTTTCTTCTTTCTTCACTCTTTTTTCTTCTTTCTTCCCTTTTCCTTTTTCTTCTTTCTTCTTTTTTTTTTTCCTCTTTTTCCTTTTTCTTCTTTCTTTCTTTTTTTCTTCTTTCTTCCTCTTTTTCTTTTTCTTCTTTTTTTTTCTTCTTTCTTCCTCTTTTTCTTTTTCTTCTTTTCCTTTTTCTTCTTTCTTCCACTTTTTTCTTCTTTCTTCCTCTTTTTCCTTTTTTTCTTTCTTCCCTTTTTTTCTTTCTTTCTTCTTTTTTCTTCTTTCTTTCTTTTTTCTTCTTTCTTTCCTCTTTTCCTTTTTTCTTCTTTCTTCCTCTTTTCTTCTTTCTTCCACTCTTTTCCTTTTTTCCCTCTTTTTTTTCTTCTTTCTTCCTCTTTTTCTTCTTTCTTCCCTCTTTTCTTCTTTCTTCCTCTCTTTTTCCTTCTTTCTTTTTCTTCCTCTTTTTTCTTTTTCTTCCTCTTTTTTCTTTTTCTTCTTTTCTTCCACACTTTTTTCTTCTTTCTTCCCTTTTTTCTTCTTTCTTCCTTTTTCCTTTTTCTTCTTTCTTCCACTTTTCTTCTTTCTTCCTCTTTTCCTTTTTTCTTTTCTTCCTCTTTTTCTTCTTTTCTTCTCTTTTTTCTTTCTTTCTTTTTCCTTCTTTCTTCTTTCTTCCTCTTTTTTCTTCTTTCTTCCTCTTTTTCTTCTTTCTTTCCTCTTTCTTCTTTCTTCCACTTTTTTTTTCCTTCTTTCTTCTTTTTCCTCTCTTTTTCTTCTTTCTTCTCTTTTTCTTTTTTCTTCTTTCTTCTTTTTTTTCTTTCTTCCACACTTTTTTTTTTTCTTCTTTTTTTTTTCTTCTTTTCTTTCTTTCTTCCTCTTTTCCTTTTTCTTTCATTTCCTCTTTTTCTTCTTTCTTCCTCTCTTTTCTTCTTTCTTCCTCTTTTTCCTTCTTTCTTCTTTCTTCCTCTTTTTCTTCTTTCTTCCCTCTTTTTCCTTTTTTCTTCTCCTTTTTTCTTCTTTCTTCCACACTTTTTCTTCTTTCTTCCACTTTTTCTTCTTTCTTCCTCTTTTTTTTCTTTCTTCCTCTTTTCCTTTTTCTTCTTTCTTCCACTTTTTTTTCTTTCTTCCCTCTTTTTCTTCTTTCTTCCTTTTTTTCTTCTTTCTTCTTTCTTTCTTTTTCTTCTTTTTCCACTTTTTCCTTTTTTCTTCTTTCTTCCACTTTTTTTCTTTCTTCCTCTTTTTCCTTTTTCTTCTTTCTTCCTCTTTTTTCTTTCTTCCTCTTTTTTCTTCTTTCTTCCACTCTTTTTTCTTCTTTCTTCCACTCTTTTTTCTTCTTTCTTCCTTTTTTTCCTTCTTTCTTCTTTCTTCCACACTTTTTTCTTCTTTCTTCCACTCTTTTTCCTTTTTTCTTCTTTCTTCCACTCTTTTTTCTTCTTTCTTCCACTCTTTTTTCTTCTTTCTTCCACTCTTTTTTCTTCTTTCTTCCTCTTTTTCCTTTTCTTCTTTCTTCCACTCTTTTTTTCCTTTTCTTTATTTTATTTGTTTCTTTTTGTCTCACTAACATTCTGCCTTCCTTTATTTTTCCTTTTTTCTCTTTCTTGCTTTTAGTCTTTCTTTCTGCCTCTCATCTTTTTTCTTTTTCATTACTTCCATTAAATTCTTCTTCTTTTTATATTTCCTTCTAATTTTCATTGCTTCTTGCCCTCCATTCATTTATCCTTCCTTTCTTTCTTTCTTTCTTTCTTTTCTGCATTTCTCTAATTTTGCTTTGATTTTCTTTTTGCCATATTCTTGTTTTTATTTCCCCTATTCAGGTCTTTCTTTCTTTCTGCCTCTTCACCTTCTCGTTTCCTTTACTTCTTTTATTTTCTTACCTCTTCATCGACTTTTTCTTCTTTTTTCTGTCTTTCTCTTCCCCGTATTATTTCTCTCCTCTTCCTTTTACTCACGCTTCTTACCATCTCTCTAATTACATCTATTTCTCCTTCATATTTCTCCTTTCTTTTTTTCATTTTATATTCTCTTCATTATTTCTCTGATTCTCTCTAACATTGATTTCCTTTTTATCATCTTTTCTTCTATTTCTTCTTTACCTGCTCTCTTGATCATTGCTTTTGATATGATTACCAAAGTTAAGCAATGTTAAGTCTAGTAAGTATCTAGATGGGTGACTGGGAATACCAAGTGCTATAAGCTTGTATGTACAGGTGGTGTAATATATAATGGCTCGGAATTACAATTTGGAAAGTTTATTATATTCACTTACATGCAAATATCCTTGAGAAATGTTTGAAGCTACCACTTCTCCCACCCAGCTATGAGTTAAATAGTATTTGTATCAGTAGTTCTTTATTATCTCCAAAAATTCTTACAACCCCAAAATATTTTCCAGCTTTAAATAACTGTGGTAACCTAGGGAAGGTTACTGAATAGAATAGTCAAACAAAGGTTGGTAAGGAATGATAATACTTAGGACAAGAACAACACATATAGGATTTGCCAGCAGTGCATAGAAGTAGTAGTCAACTGCTAGAAGTGAGTCAAATGAATTCTACAATGAATCACCAACTGCAGACCAACATACAGTATTTACTACTGTATTTATTTGAATGGACACATACCTATTGTCATCCATAGGTATGCTACAACAATAACCAGTAAAAGTTTGATAAGCTGTAAAAAACAAATCTGTCAATAAATCCTGCTTTCTCTTTCTCTGTTGCAGTTTCTATTTTCTATTTGTTTTACATTCTTTTCTAGATGTCTTTCATTTATCTTTCATTTTATCATCTTTCTTTCACCCTCTCTTTCTTTTCTTTTTCTCTTTCTTTTCTTTTTCTCTTTCTTTTCTTTTTCTCTTTCTTTTTTCTCTTTCTTTTCTTTTTCTCTTTCTTTTTCTCTTCTCTTTTCTTTCTATTCCCCCTCACTTCATTCCAATTCCTACTTTTCTTTCTTTTTCTCACTTTTTTTTTTTACCTTCACTCATTTAAGTACCGTTAAGCAGACTGGAAGTACCTTTTAAATGGTCAAAATCTCATTAAATTTAAATTAAGTATTGTCTTTTTCCCAGTAATTAACTGATCAGCTAATTTAATGGAAACTTCATCCTTTCTCTAATTTATTACAGAATGTACTTGACAAAAATCTTTTTTTAAACTGCTCATCTCTAAAATGAAAGAAAGTTTTAAAAAACAGTTAAATAAAAGTCCCACAGGTGTTAAACAGGGGCTATGGCAATGATTTCCTGGCCTCACCCCAAATTTATGATATGTACCCCCCCACCATTCTACTACATCTCAGTAAGATAGTATTCATATAAAATATGAATTTTATTGTAACCTAATTATGTATAATAATGGATCATATGAAATATAGGTGAACAATTAGAAAAATTGAAAATAAATACAATGTATCTAAGTACAAATTAGAAACACATCATAATAGATCATTCTATTTTAAATTTTAGGTTGGTGCAAAAATAATGACGTAATAATGTCGTTTTTGACCTTAAAAATACGTCAAAAAACGACATTATTACGTCATTATTTTTGCACCAACCTAATAAATAAACAATGTTTTGTGGCAATTTTTAACATCAACTTGAGATTAAAGAAGTTGAATGATTTTAACACATTCAGCATTATGGGTAAAAAATAGGGAATTTTATATAGGAGTTTTTCAAGACTTAGCATGAGCAAAACATATTCACGGATTCGGATGAAAAAAAGATACCAAAATTTTTCATCCTTTAATAGTCATTTGTGATTAGTTTAATTTGCAACATATTTGTTTTTTTTGTTTCTACCTACATTTATGTAGGCAGAAAAAAAGCAAATGTTTTTATCTGTCCTTCTTGCCTCTCATATGCCCCACAAGAGTCAAATTATCCAAGCCTGTTTAATTCATTATGTTTTTGATAAATTTCATCTGTCAACATTATACATTAGTAGACATAATTCTACTTCATTTTCAGTATGCCTACTTTGACATGGAATATTTTGATGCAAATCTATTGGATCATATTTTAATACGTTAAGATCACTTTATCTATATTATTCAGACTGTTGTCCTCATCTTTATTGCCTTATTTACAACGCTTTGGCCATTGTCCACTCTAGTTTTCTTCAGGTGATTGGAATTTCAAACTATGGAAGATGTCCTTGAGGACATCATTGTATGAATTTTGGGGACATATAAACTTAATATCGCAGTAAACATTTTTTTTTTTTTACCAGAGCTCATATTGCAATTTTGTTGCTATTTTTGCTTTTCTCAGGCACTCTGTAAATTGTATTTATTTCTATGCTTGTCCAGCTTAGAAGATTTTCATGGTCTAGCATATGTGCTGATTCCTTAAGTTTATGTATTTTCCAGTGATGTTCTCTGTCTATTATTTCAACCCCATCACACAGAAAATAGGATAAGGATCTCTTTTCCCTCCATATGTGGTCAATGGATAAAAGCCTCGGTTGGATCCAGTGACTTGATTCAAAAAGTTGTGAGTTCAATATCTGTACTATAAAACACATATAATATTTCCTTGAGTTCAGAACACCATAATATATACTAATGCTGCTTAACAAATCAAATGGTTAAACAATGAAAACCAAACAACACAAATGTAAAAAAATAACAATTTCTTTCTTTCTTTCTTTTTTTTCTAGCTCCTATTATCTGATGAAGTTTTCATAAAAGTGAAACATGTTAGATTGATAAATGTTTCCTATTTGTTTTTTATCCTATTTTCTGTTGGACTCCAATCTATAGTTGATCCTAATTCTTTTTCTATTATCTAGTGATCGTGCACAGATTGCACCAAGGTCATAATCAGCGTCATCTATAAGGGTGTGGTAATTTTACTTTCTCTCTGTGTATTTTACACAATCCATGCATTTATTTCTGGCTTTGTATTTTGTAAAGAACTTTTTAATTTGTGATTTGGATTTTAAATTATTTTCCAATATTGAAAAATATTTATACTACATGCACTATTGCATAATATGACACAAAACATTGCACACTGCAAAATGTTGCATAGTACTATTAAAAATCTTGTTTAATAGATATTGGAAAAAAAAAAAAAAAAAATTTCGGAAGACAAAACACGTTGGCAAAATCTAAGATTTTTTCCAATTGTCATTTTATACCAATCTGTCTTGTCCACAGAATTGATCCGTGAATTTAACTATATTGTTAACACGGAAAAAAAAAAATCCCTTACTATAAAGGTAATTTACATTAACCAGAAAAAAAAGCTTAGACAGAAGCATCTATCTTTTTAAATTTGGATTTTTTAATGTAACTATAACAACAAAAACTTTTCAATTTCATTTTTGCCTTGAAAAAGTCGGAAGACGAAATGTGTTGGCAAAATCTAAGATTTTTTTCCAATTGTCATTTTATACCAATGTGTCTTGTTCACAGAATTGTGAATTTAACTACAACATATTATATAATACTATGCACAATACTGCATGCCAAAATGTTGCATAATGCTATACAAATATTGCACAATACTATAAAAATATTACAAGCTATTAGAAAAATATTGCACAATACTATGCATAATATTAATATGCTATTAGAAAAATATTGCACAGTACTATGCAAAATATTGCATGCTGCTAGTCAAAATATTGTATAATGTTATTCAAAATATTTCACAATATTACAATAATAATGCACAATACTAAACAAAATATTCCACATTTCAAAATGCTGCATAATACAAAATAAATTATTGCACAATACTAGACAAAAATAAATTATTGCACAATACTAGACAATATGTTTCATTCTTCTATGCATAATATTGCACAATGCAATACAAAATATTATAAACAATACTATACCAGATGTGATATTGATACTGTAATAGAATATTAAAAAAAAACACCTTGGACTCTTTCTGTCTGATGTTAAAAACATGCAATATCTGTTTTTTTTTCTATTTTTTTCAGATAAAATATGTTAGGGCCAAATTTTCCTCAAATCTTAGAATGTTAAAAATTCAAAAATCAATAAAAGATTGAACCATGAATTAAATGTAAAATTTCAGGTGCTTTTCACACTCACACAATTGTGTAAGATTAAAGAAAAAAAAAAAGAATAAGGATATAAGTTTAATAAGAATATTAGAATATAAGAATAATAAATAACAAATCCTGTCCACATAATTATAGTGAAAATAAGCAAAGAAGAGATTTAGACAAATAACAGTTTTTAAATTAATAATAATTCTGTTCCCAGACAAATAGAAGTGGATCTTTGGAATTTGGGTTAAAAAATTTGACAGTAAACGTGAAATATCAAACTAGAATTTTAAAAAAGAGGAGAAAAAAAAGAGAGAGAGAAAGCTCATTTGATTAGACATATTTGAGAAGAAATAACATGAAATAATAAAATAATTTAATTTTTAAAATGAATTTCTACTTTGAAAAAAATTGAGGATTAAAATTATTTTCTTTCTTTTTTTTTCTTTTCTTTTGAAGGCCAATTTTAAAAGAATAATAGAGATGGTTTTAAAAAAAAAAAGGAAAGAAAAGAATTTTGGAAAAAGTAATAAGTGAAGAAAAGATCATACCTCACCATTACTCATGACAATGAAACAAAAAATACAAAGAAAAGTAATTCTGTTATTCATGTAATGAAATTTTTAATGCATCAACCCCAAAATACAAGAGTTTGGACTAAAATAGAAACAGACAATTCTAAAACGTGGGTATAAAAAAACAATATAAGGGGGAGAAGGCATGATATTATCGGGGTGGATTGAATATCTGAAAATTTTCAAAAATCCTTTAATGTTATACAAATATAATGTTAAAAATGCCAGGAATTGTTCTTCTAAGAACAAATTTAGTAGTTTTTGGTTTCTTTTATACTGTACTTAAAATCAAATTCTTGAGTTGAGATAATATTCAAATGCCTTCTACAACTCAATCAAATCTACTAATAGAGAAGACAACA